TTATTTTTAAGAAGTTACAATAATAATCATTACATCTTTTCATTTGGATTCCGCAGCATATTTTCCCCGCTCGATTTTTAATAAGAGTTATCAGTATCTATATTACCCTATTTTCTAAATATTTTAAATTGCAGAAATATTCTTATTACCCCTTGTCACCCTGCAGAATCCCCTTTTTAATTCATCAACCATTATCTCTGAAAAAACAATTTTTCAACATTTTACTGTTTCCGTATTTCTTTATTTCATGCACCTGTTTCTTACTGCTTCTCCTCCCCCTCTTTTCCCCATATCTTTTCTCATTCCAGTTTATATCCCTCTCTTTCTTAATATCTTCCTTTCCTCTTTTCTGCTGGGTCTTTCTGCCTTTCCTGACTTCACAGGTATTCCCCCTTTTGATTGCCTTCTTAAATCTCAACTTTTAAACCTTTCTTCTTTCTCCACTTCTTTGTAGTGTTCTTTGTGTTAATTGTCTATTTAAAATGTCTTCTCCTTGAATCGACTCCTCCTCCTCTGAAGCTCTTTCTTCTTGTTCTTCAATCGCCATTTCCATTTTTTCTAACACAGAGCAAAGTGATTCGCCTCTTTCCTGTGGTACTTCTCTCATATTTTTAAGTTCCATTTTTAATTCCCGAAGAGATATCATCATTACACACTCTTGTATTTTATGGTCGTTAAAGTCCACACAAAAAAAACACTTTTACTTTCCTTCTTTCTTTCAACTTTCTAAAGTTCTCAGTTATTCCAGCCGAGGGTCTATACCAAAAACATCAATCATTCCCACAGTTAGTCTTTCCTTGCTTTTTTCTTTATTCTGGTTCTGCTTTCACTTTCTAAGATTCTTACTTTGTTTCAATATTTCTTTAATGTTATATCCACACAAGTTCATTCAGAAACAGGATGCTTTCCCTTTTGTTTGAGCTCAAGTTTTTGTCAGAAGGTGGCACTCTCCATTATACAAAGTCTTCACCTTTCCCCCCTATTTTTTTATTTAGGGTTTTTCGAACCTCAATATTCCAGCACAGTCCAGTCTCCAATTTGTAAACTTTATTATTATTATTTTTTGACAATCTTAAGTCCAGCTTTATTTTATGCCTGTTTATTCCCAAAATATTTTAGTCCAATTTAGTTAAATCTTTAGTTCCGGCTTCTTCCTTTCCCAGTTCGAAGCCCTGCTTAGCTATCAAAAATGTTTTCTTATTTTTTTTTTCCTGTCCCTTTGTAATTTCGCTGCTCACTTTTCTTTTCTTAAAAATTCCATGTTACCTTAATCCCGGGGTACTTTTGTTTAGTTGTATTGCCCAGTTGTCCCAGTTCAGATGTTATCCACCTCTTTCTTCCCTCCTGCACAAATCTTAATCCAGCTGAGTCCTCCTCTTCGGGGTGTCCATTTTAAACCACCGCGGCAGTCGTCTTCGGGGGGAAAAAGACCAAGCCCAGGGGGGGAAGATGCAGCTCCCCTCAACCTGGCTTGCGGCTTTCCCTTACTCCGCCGCCCCTCCAAGGCAGCTTCAGCCCCTAATCGTAATGATCGGGGCTCTCCAACGAAAGAGCACGGACCATAGCCACAGAGAGTCGCGATCTACGGTCCATCAGCGAGGAGGCTCCGCCTTCTTCCTCGCCAATAAAGAATTCTATTCTATTCTATTCTATTCTATTCTATTCTATTCTATTCTATTCTATTCTATTCTATTCTATTCTATTCTATAAAGGAAAAAGACCAATTGAAGCAGCAAGAAAAGCTACGAGGGTTATTAGCAGAAATTGCCACTTGGAGCCTTGTAAAATTCTGCGAACAAGGCAACGGCTGTACACTGCACTGGAATCTGTTTTTGAACCAGAGGTATTTTTACAATCATGAATCATTTGCAAAATCAGCTCAGCTGTGCAAGACGATGAATAATCGCTCCCTTCTGTATTACAAAGGACCTCTGACAAGTCAGACTAACTGGAAAGTACAGTACAGGAATTTACACATGGTCTTACCATTTCTTCTGCAGTATATTGGCCCCTGGGAATACAGGTTGTCCTCAACTTACAAGAGTTTGTTTAACGACCATCCAAAGTTACAACACTGAAAAAAGTGAGTTATGACCGTTTTTCACATTCACGACTGTTGCAGCATCCCCGTGGTCACGTGATCAAAATTCAGACGAGGACGGGGAAGAGGTTGGAGGCAACGTTGGGTTTTAAATTAGGTCGTGTACCAGAATGCTTTCTATTAGGAATTCAGATGCTTGGCAACTGGTTCCTATTTACAACCGTTGCTGTGGCCTGGAGTCACGTGGTCACCTTTTGTGACCTGCTGACAAGCAAAGTCAATGGAGAAGCCAGATTCGCTTAACAACCGGTTACTAACCTATCCCACCACGGTAATTCACTTAACAACTGTGGCAAGAGCATTACCACTGCAGAGGGTAAATTAGCAACATTGGTTGTTAAGTGAATCTGGCTTCTCCCATTGACTTTGCTTGTCAGGTTACAAAAGAGGATCCACGATCCCGGGACACTGCAACCGTAATAAATGTGAGTCAGTTGCCAAGCGTCTGAATTTTGATCATGCGACTGTGGGGATGCTGCAATGCCCATAAGTGTGTTCTGACCAAGGCTTCTGAGACCATAATTATGCACATGCTTATTTTAAAAACAAATCTTGGTTTATTGCAACGCTGGGAATTATTTTCATTCCCAGCCAGTAATGAATCTCACAGTCCCTCAAGATAAGCACCCGCCTTTCTTTCCTGTGAAGTGCTTCCATAAACAGAAGTATCAAATGAACTAGAAAAAAAACAACCAACTGAAGTACAAAGAGCTTCAAGAATGAATCTGAACCGAATAAATGACTTTGCTTCCTGCAAAGGTTTCATCATCTTTGCCTGTCCTTTATACCTTATGGGAGGGGCAATTACCTCCCGGCCTTACTCCCAAGTCACCCCTTTTGTTTCAGCTGCTCTCGCCTTCTAGCAGCTCTGCACACACGCGCACTGGGAACTGGGAACAGGCTCCCCTTGTTCCTCTGCCTCGTTGCTGTCAGACTCCGGAGGCTCCGGAGGCAGCACCCCACTCCCAGATGGTCCTGGCCCCATCTCTGCATCAGATGCAGGACCGTTGTCTGAGTCCTCTCCAGACTCCTGGACTGGTCCCCTTTCTTCCCCGCTGTCCGATTCCGCTGCCGTCTGCACAGGCTGCCGGTGAACCACAACAAAGTGTGAAAACAGCCATAAGTCACTTTTTCGGTGATGTTGTAACTTTGGGCAGTCACTAAATAAACTGTTGTAAGTAAAGGACTGCCTGTATTAACCGGAGCAAAGGCAGGCAGGTTGGCTGGCCCTTATGGTCCGTGGGAATCCTCTCTGCTGTGGTTTAGTCAGGGGAGCAAGGTGAAAGTAGATCGTGGCCGGCTCAGTGTGCAAACTGCCCCCTGGTTTAAACAAAGTGGGAACTCAGCCCCTGCCGCTTCTCATCCTTGCTTGAGGGCTCAGTAGGCAGAATCAGAACAGAGCTGGAAGGGACCTTTGAGGTCTTCTAGTCCAGCCCCCTGCGCAAGCTGGAGATCCAAGACCATTCCAGACAAGTGACTGTCCAGTGTCTTCTTAAAAGCCTTCCCGTGATGAAGCACCCACAACAACTGAACAGCTGTGTTTGTTTGGAAGTTTCTCCTTCATTCCAGGTTGTTTTTCTCCTTGATTAGCTTCCATCAGTTGCTTCTTGTCCTGCCTTCAGGGGCTTTGGAGGAGGGGTCTCCCAACCTTGGCAACTTGATTGTAGGGCTGTAACTTTGTCGCTTGTATCCTTACGATTTATATGGACTGTTTCCTAGCATGATTTGATTGCTTATTGTACCCTATGACTATCATTAAGTGTCGTCCCTGATGATTCTCGACTCCTGATGAATGTATCTTTTCTTTTATGTACACCGAGAGTTTCTGCACAGCGACAAATTCTTTGTGGGTACAGTCACACTTGGCCAATAAAGCTATTCTATTCTATTCTTATTCTTATTCTACTCTATTCTATTCTTATTCTACTCTACTCTATTCTATTCTTATTCTTATTCTACTCTATTCTATTCTTATTCTACTCTACTCTACTCTATTCTATTCTATTCCTTATTCTATTCTATTCCTTATTCTATTCTATTCCTTATTCTATTCTATTGAAGCCTGGTGGACTTCAACTCCCAGAATTCCCCAGCCAGCCAAGTTCCCAAGGTTGCTTTGGACAATAGCTTGACCTCCTCCTCTTCTTTGGGGCAGCCCCTCAGATATTGGAAGGCTGCTCTCGTGTCACCCCTAGTCCTTCCTTTCATTAAATTAGCCAAACCCAATTCTTGCAACTTCCAGAACCTTTAATCCTCTTAGTTGCTCTTCTTTGCACCTCCACATAAACCCCCTCCACATAAGCCTCCTTTCCAAAAAGCCTCCACGTAACGTGGGGACCCCAAAACTGGACGCAGGATTCTAGGTGCGCGCGTCCTTACTAGGGCTTTACAAAAGCGGCGCTCAACCCCGGGTTGGAAACCAATTCGAGTTTTCCAAGCTTCCAGGAGAACCCGTGGCGGAAGGAGCGCCAGAGGGGAAGGGGCGCACGGGGGAGGGGGCTTTTTCCCTGAAGGCCCCCTGCCTCTGCTAGCGCCCGCCGTCGGCCCTCTTCTCGGGGAAGCCTCGTTGGAAGAAGCAGCCAGAGGAGAAGAAGCAGGAGGCGCCGGACTGCGCAGCCAGAGGAGGGCGAGGCGAACCCCGGCCCTTTTCACACGTGCCTGGTTTTGTTGACAGGGCTGGGCTTGGCCCGGCGTCACGTGCCCCGACGGCCGGCCTTGGGCTCGCAGCTGCGCGGGTCTCCGCTCAATGCCGCGACTTCCTGCCTCGGCTGCAAGAGCGGCGGCGGCGGCATCAGCGGCAGCAGCAGCAGCAGGGCGGCGGCGGCGGCGGCGGCGGCGATCCGGTCCGCGTGAGGTGCGGGCAAGCGCCGCCGCCTCTGTGGCTGCGGGGTCGGGCGGCGGCGGGCGGCGGCCCGGAGGCGGACGAAGATGAGCGCGGGGCACGTCGTCTGCACCGGCTGGCTGATCAAGTCGCCCCCCGAGAAGAAGCTCAAGCGCTACGTGAGTCGGCGGGTGGGGGGGGAGGGAGGCGACATACCCACCCTCCGTCCATCCATCCCTCCCTCCATCCCGCGTCCGGTGCTCTGGCCTTGCAAAAGCCTCTGCCTTCCCCCGTCCCCAAGGAAGGGCCGGCGGGGCGCGGATCCTCCCGGGCTTCCAAGCCGGGATTGTGCGAACGGGAGGCAGGCAGGCAGGCGGGCGGGCTGGCTTCGCTCGTGGGAAAAGGAGCGCTGCCACCCCAGCCTTCTCGGGGCTTGAAACGCTCGCTTTGGAGGCGGAGGAGGCGTCTCGGGCGCCGGTAGGCTTGGGGGGCTTCTTGGAGCCCCGCTCCCCACCCAGCGCCCCCGGTCTTGCGAGCGCTTCTGCCCGTTACGCAACCCGGAGCGGAGCTTGCTTTGTTTTGTTTTTGTTTTTTTTGAACGAGACGCCATCGCGCGCCCCTCCAGCCCCCGCCGGTGGTTGCAAGGCGAGGCGGCCGCCTTTGGCTTTGCTTGGGGAGGGGTGTGGGGGTGAGGTGGCGCCCTCCCCCGACGTGGCTGGCTTGCGAAAGTTGTGAGACCGCGATGGGTGGGTGGGTGGGGGGGAAGGTGGGTGGATGGGCGAGCCGGACCGACTGGTGGCTTCCCCGGTCCTCGAAACGGGGTGGTGGGATGGGGCGGTGGGACAGAGGTCGCGGCCGCAGTCGTTCAGACGTGAGGGGAAAGCGAGGCTTGGTGGTCTCCAACCCCCTCAGGAAAGGTGTAAACGGGCTGAGTAGGAGAGTTGTTGTGGGGGGGGGGGGGGAGAGGGAGAGGAGGGGGGGGGTTTGTCGGGCTCGGTGCAGCACCGGGGGTTGGGGGAGGGGCGGGGCGGCAATAGATTCGGATTCTGACGTGACCTTTTGGCAGAAAAGTTACACAGAAAAGGAGACGGGGAGGGATGCAGGAGAGTTTAAGAAGCGGCGGCGGCGGCGCCTGAAGAGCGGCTCGCTTTTAAGTCTCCCTCATGAAACCACCTGCTTTCCAACACACACATCCATGCGCGCGCACGCCACACACACACACACACACCCCACACACTCCCATGCCCAAAATGTGTAACGGTGTGAGGTTGACAACAGTCCCCCATCCTTGTACGTTGGCAGCGAGCGACGCCGCTGAGTCGCCCTTCGCGGCTGGAAAAGCGCCCGGCCGTTTATCCGCCGGAGCCTATTGCAAGCAGCTGGCGCCCCCCCCCCCCCCCCCCCCCCCCCCTCCGAACCGGTGCCCTCCCCAGGCGCGCCCCGCTGCCCCGGCCCGGCCTTTCGGCTCCGCCGGGGTTGCTGGGCAGGGAGGGAGGGGGGGTCGCCCGCCCGCCTCTGGACCAGCCCCCGTCCGTCACTAGGCCGAGCGGGGCCCGAGGAGGACCGCAGCAAACGCCTTTCCGGCGCCTGGCCTCCGTGGGGCGGGCTGCGTGGGCCCTCTTGCCCGCCCTTCGGCCCAATTTCCCCCCCCTCTCGAATCCCGCCGGAGCTTCCCACTGTGCAGCTGGCCAGCACCGCCGCGGGTCCTCCCCCCCCCATTTTGCAGGCTTTGCGCCGGGGAGGAGGGGAGCGAGAAGCCGACGGAGGGAGGAGGCAGGTCCGGGAAGGGCTTCCTCGTCTGGAGCCCCGTGGAAAATTCTCGGGAGGAGACCGAAGGGGTGGTGGGGGGGGCGGAGGGTTGCAGAGGCCAGGATGCAAAGCTCATCTGGGTGCCTCTTCGGTCAGCCCCGCGCTGCAGGTCGCCTCCGCCCGGAGTTTTCCTCTCGGCTCCTGCTTCACCCTTCCTTCCTTTTTTTGAAACCTGGAAAATGAAAGCAAAAGAGAAGCGGGGATCAAGAGAGGAAGGGATGCTCTCCCTCCAGGCATCAGGATTTAACACCCCCCCCCCCC